CCCCTCTCCTTTTATCTCCTCTCCCCTCTCCTTTTATCTCCTTTCCCCCTCTCCTTTTATCCCCTCTCCCCTCTCCTTTTATCTCCTCTCCCCCTCTCCTTTTATCCCCTCACCCAAACCCACTTACTGTTACTCTGAAGAAGAATAAAGTATATCATTTTAAAGTATTCTTTTGATAGGGTTGATTATAAAATTAACAAATAAATGAAGTACCTGGTAATTAATGGGTCGTTGTACTTAGATGCCTCTGATCACAAGGTAAGTCGTTCAGATTGACATCAAAGAGAAAATGTACTGCTTTGATACGCTACAAAGTGCATATAGAATTAGGGTTGTCCATTTTCAAAGTTGACAATTTTCAAAAATCTCTATTGTGGGCAGTATCTCCTTGGAAGCTTAGACTTGTTACATATGTACACATACTGTACATGATAAGGAAACATGCTGAACATGTATAAAGCATGTCAGGATGATTGTGTTGATACTTTAGGGTGTCCTGTAATACCTGATACTGATGATCAACAACAGATCGGTGTTTATGTCTTTATCCCTGACTCTTGAAAGGCGCTGTCATAACATAATAGCTGAAGAAAAACATAATTATTTTAACTGAAAATTTGTTTTTTATATATGGGAATATGGGAAATACAGATACAAAATTGTAGATATTAAAATCCTATGTCTTGAGTACTTGAGAATCAGTAAAGAGGTTTTCAGCTTGCAAATGAATAAGTACATTGTATAGGGCACCCTTAGACTTGGGACTCAGTGTTACATAAAGGTAGTTTCTGATCTGTCGTGGGCAGGGTGGCTGCTAGGGTTCAGTGGGAAAAACAAAAGTCAATCCTACTCCTATGTATGGGTCAAGCTGAACCTTATTTGGTAAACATTTAAAATCTTACTCCTTCAATAGGGATGTATGTAAAGATTTGTTACAAACTTTTGTCTGCTCTCAGCTTATACTTTATTTATTCAATCTTTGATACACACGTCAAATATACCATATTTGATACAATTGAAAAAAGTATGCCATGATTAAATGTTTTTGTACAGGTGGTTCTGTGTCCAATATGTATGCCCTTAACCTGGCCCGATTTCAGCGATGGCCGGAAGTGAAGCGATCAGGCATGCACGGTTTACCAAGACTGTGTATCCTTACATCAGAAAAAGTAAGCTGTAGGATGATGTACCATACCTGTATAGATGACTAACCATACCTGTATAGATTACCTACCGTGCCTGTATAGATTACCTACACACCTGTATAGATTACCTACACGCCTGTATAGATTACCTACACGCCTGTATAGATTACCCACACGCCTGTATAAATTACCCACATGCCTGTATAAATTACCTACATGCCTGTATAGATTACCCATATGCCTGTATAGATTACCCACATGCCTGTATAGATTACCCACATGCCTGTATAGATTATCTACATGCCTGTATAGATTACCTATCATACCTGTATAGATTACCTACCATACCTGTATAGAATACATACCGTGCCTGTATAGATTACCTACCATACCTGAATAGATTACCTGCATACCTGTATAGATTATCTACATGCCTGTATAGATTACCTACCATACCTGAATAGGTAACTTACCATACCTGTATAGATTACTTACCATACCTGTATAGATTACTTACCATACCTGTATAGATGACTTGTTAAGACATGTTAACTAAAATTAGATGACATAGAAATGAACCCAAGTGTAAATTACAGTTGCATGATACCATAGGATAGAATAAAATAAGGAGAAATGGCTTAAATATCATTATCCTTTGGTGGATGTTTAATGTATGAAATGTAAAACCAGAACAATAAACAGACACATACTATCAATGCTGTCATAAATCTCGGTAACAGATGTGTTTATTGTCTGATGTATGTATTATACACTTAATTCTCAGCGAAGCTACAGGTATTTATGTCAATATAAGGTGTTAACATTATCTAATAACCATGCTAGTTTTAAACTTTTTAGATCACCTGAGACAAAGTCTCAAGTGACCTATTGCGATCGCCTTTTGTCCGGCGGCGTCCGGCGTCCAGCGTGCGTTCGTAAACAATTTACATTTTCGTCTTCTTTTCCAAAACCCCTGAGCCAATTCCAATGAAATTTTGCAGAAACCTTCCATGGCCAAAGATCAACATAAATTGTGAATTATATGGTCCCCAGCCCCCAGGGGCTTGAGGGGCCGGGCCAAAAAGGGTCAAATTGACTAAAATTTCAAAAATCTTCTTCTCAGGATCAAGATATGGTAGAATCAAATACTCTTCATAGATGGATAGGTTTTAAGGTGCTTTACCAAATTTGTGAATTTCATGACCCCGGGGTCTCATGTTTCCCCCTGGGGAGGGGGTAAACTTTACTATAGTTTATATAGGGAAATCACATTTTGGACTAACATTTGTTTAAATGCCATTGGAAGTAATTCAATTTGGGTTAGCATTATCAGTATTGGATAGCAATTTGATGGTATGCACATATCAGCCCTGACTGACCCCCAGGGGCTTATGGGTGGGGCAAAATAGGTCGAATTGAGTGAAATTTCAAAATCTTCTTCTCAAGACCAGATATGGTAGAATCAAATGCTCTTCATAGATGGAAGGGTTTTAGGTGCTCTACCAAAATTGTGAATTTTTTGACCCTAGGGTCTCACGTTTTCCCCTGGGAAAGGAGGGGGGGGGGGGCAAAATTTGTTATGGTTTATAATGGCAAATGATACTTTGAATATTACATGTTGATAACTAGATTTGAATCACAACCCTAAGTTGACAGTTTGATACATTGAAAATTTTGAGCCATCCCTACCCCCAAGGACTGTAGGGTGGGGCCCAATGGAGTCTGTGTGCTAAAATTTCTTCATTTTCCTTGTTTAGAATCAGAGGTGCTAGTTTCAAATACTTTTCAGCCTTAAATCTGCATGCTGGATATTGAATAAGGTGGTTTTATTGTTTTTTGTCACTTTGAATAATATTTCTGTTCATGTTAAAGACAAAAATCAACTCTCTGTATAAATATATCAGGTGACCGTTAAGGCCCATGGGCCTCTTGTTTTCATCCTCACGTGAGTGTTGACTTACATGAAGATATTGTACTCTTTCCCCCAATTGTTATATGTGGTCAGGATTCCTAGTAACAAAACAGATCTAGGACAGTTTTCATCCACTACCACTGCACCACAAAAACTCGGTGACGCTTTACAAAACAAACCCAATCACACCATTTTACATACATGCTCCTTTTGTTTCAAATTTTTTAACAATAGTTGACATTAAATAAAATTTGATAATATGATATTTTTTAATAAGTTAATAGTTGTTACTTCCTAAGGCATCTTTTCCATTGCTGTTGTCTATAGGCCCACTACTCCTTGAAGAAAGGTGCAGCATTTATCGGTGTTGGAGTAGACAATGTATTCCCTGTCAAGGCCGACCCTGAGGGACGCATGATGCCTTCTGCTCTGGAAGAAAGGATAATGGAATTAAAGGCAGAGGTAAGAATAAAGATCTATTAAGAAGTAAAACACAAACCTAGATTGTTATATATGCCAATCATTTTCATAACCATTGCTGATCCAGAGCAGAATGAATTTAGTTAAACCCAGAGCTGAATAACTATGTTGAGTGTAGTAATGCCATACATGTAGCTGAATGAACCAGTTAAGTGAATGGAGAGTAGCCATATCTAAACCAGACAATAGCCCTAGTTAAACCTGATGTTCATAATCTAGTCCAGTTAATACATTTAAGGAACAATCAGAATTAGTTTGGGGGTTTATGGTATATACTGAAAAAAACTGCACTTATTTTGCATCAATCCACAAGGCAGTTTTTGCATGAATCTGCACCAAGTGTTGTTTTGTTATATATCGTATAACTCAAATATAATCATGGTTATACCTTATGATTTAATGTATAAATACGCTCAACACTTTTAAGTTCATAAATGATGGGTATTCATTATTTTCTTATAAAAGCAAAATAAATTTGCACAAAACAACATTGGGCAGTAATTTCATTGCCGAGCAACTTCAACCAATAAGAAGTTAGAATTACAAAGTACATCAGAACAGCACATATACTTTGGCAAATACTGCTCCAGGCATTTTGTCATCAGTTTTTGTGTTATGTATACTTTTTAGGTTATATGATAAAACTTGATAAGGTTAGCATTTGAGGAATAGCCAAATTAAATAATGCATGTATAACCAGAGTTTGTTGTCTTAGATCTTACAGTGTTAGGTTTGGTGACCTCATCCTGACATTGTACCGACAATTTGACTCCTTACTTTCTGTTACACAGATAAGATAAATATATATTTCTACTTGACAGGGCTATGAACCATATGTAGTGAATGCCACATCTGGGACAACAGTATTTGGGGCGTATGACCCTCTGGATGACATTGCCAATGTCTGTCAGAAGTTTGGTATCTGGATGCACGTTGACGCTGCCTGGGGAGGGGGAGTGCTGCTGTCAAGGAAATACAGGTGTCTCATGAGAGGCATAGAGAGGTAGGCTACTGTTAACAGTACATGGACAGTAACCCTACAGGTGTGAAATCACCAAACACGTCAGGGCTACAAACCATCAGAAACTAGGGCTGTAATCACCTGACATTATATGGTGGTAGTCGCCTGACATTACAGGTTGGTAATCACATGACATACATGCATAACAGGGTGGTAATCATCTGACATAACAGGGTGATAATCACCTGACATTACGGGATGGTAATCATCAGACATTACAGGGTGATAGTCACGTGACATTACAGGGGGGTAATCACGTGACATTACAGTTTGGTAATCACCTGACATTACGGGATGGTAATAATCTGACATTACAGGGTGATAGTCACGTGACATTACAGCGTGATAGTCACGTGACATTACAGTTTGGTAATCATGTGACATTAGTTTGGTAATCATGTGACATTACAGGGTGGTAATCACATGACATTACAGGTTGGTAATCACGTGACATAACAGGGTGATAATCATGTGACATTACAGGGTGATAATCACGTGACATTACAGGGGGGTAATCATCTGACATTACAGTTTGGTAATCACATGACATTACAGTTTGGTAATCACATGACATTACAGGATGGTTATCATGTGACATGACAGGGTGATAATCATGGGACATTACAGGATGGTAATCACGTGATATTACAGGGTGATAATTACATAACATTACAGTTTGGTAATCAACTCTCATTACAGGGAGGTAATGACATTACAGGGTTGTAATCACCTGACATGACAAGGCTGAAATCACCTGACATTACTGAGTGGTAATCACCTGGCATTACAGGGTGATAATCACCTGACATTACAGAGTAGTAATCATGTGACATTACAGGGTGATAATCACGTGACATTACAGGGTGGTAATCATGTGACATTACAGGGTGGTAATCACCTGACATTACAGGATGGTAATCACGTGACATTACAGGGTGATAATCAGGTGACATTACAGTTTGGTAATCATGTGACATAAAAGGGTGGTAATCACGGGCATTACAGGGAGTTAATCACATGACATTACAGGGATTGTTATCACCTGACATTACCGAGTGGTGATCACCTGGCATTACAGGGTGGTAATCACGTGACATTACAGGTTTGTAATCAGGTGACATTACAGGGAGTTAATCACATGACATTACAGGGATTGTAATCACCTGACATGACAAGGCTGTAATCACATGACATTACAGGGTGGTAATCACGTGACATTTCAGGGATTGTAATCACCTGACATGACAAGGCTGTAATCACGTGACATTACAGGGTGGTAATCAGGTGACACTACAGGTTTGTAATCACGTGACATTACAGGTTTGTAATCACGTGACATTACAGGGTAGTAATCAGGTGACACTACAGGTTTGTAATCACGTGACATTACAGGGTGGTAATCAGGTGACACTACAGGTTTGTAATCACGTGACATTACAGGGTAGTAATCAGGTGACACTATAGGTTTGTAATCACGTGACATTACAGGGTAGTAATCAGGTGACACTATAGGTTTGTAATCACGTGACATTACAGGGTAGTAATCAGGTGACACTACAGGTTTGTAATCACGTGGCATTACAGGTTTGTAATCACGTGACACTACAGGGTAGTAATCAGGTGACACTATAGGTTTGTAATCACGTGACATTACAGGGTAGTAATCACATTACAAACTTAGAACTTTGTTGCATACTGCATAACATACATCAACCTCCTCGATACAATATTGTAAATTTGGAAGTTAAGAGAATAGATCTGCTCCATTTTATGCAAGCGTTCTTTACATTTAATGTAATCACATATATGTGTCTGTTTTGTATTAATTTTCATTTCAATTCATATTAGTAAAAAAAGTTGGAAAAGGTTTACAGTTAAGTATGAACTATCATATATAGAAATACTTGAGACAGCTAAATACATGTACACTATCCATCCCATATGTATATTAAGATATAAACTTCCTCATGTTCAGCCTTATTGTAATATGTTCTTCAGGGCGGACTCCATGACATGGAATCCCCACAAAATGATGGGACCTCCCCTTCAGTGTTCAGCCTTCCTCACAAAACACAAGGTCAGTTAACTGAATGAAACTTTAGGATATTTCACATAAGGGTTGATAAATTGCTTCCAGGAATTGTGCAGGCTTGTCAGGTGATATGAACCATGCTATTTTAACTGTCAATGAGACAAGTACATTGACACCTGTGTATAAAGACCACTAATATCACCTGCATAGGAAGACTACCTGTCTATAACTACCAGTTAAAGAATACTTCATTTTTTTCTGTATTTTATTACTTGTGTAAAAAACACATTTCTAAAAAATCTATGAAAACCACATTTTTACAAATATCACGTGGTTATTATCATCTAATGGCTTACCTAAGTGTATTTTATTAAGACCGGTTTTACTTTCTCTACCACTACTTTCTGACTGGTCTCTGTGTGTCAGCTGATGAAGGTAAAGTTAGTAAGACTTGAGGTATTGTTGGTGCTTTGTTTCCAATGACCTGTTCTGTTTATTGTGATATAATGTAAGGGAGAAAATGTAATACAAGGCAGGAAAGTTATTGAACTCATTCACCCCTGAAAACACATTTGAACTCTTCCAATACAAAGATTGGAATAGTTCATTTTTATGAAATTTGTGGGCTGTATGAGTTAATGTAATGCTACTGTATAGAGGTTTTCACCCCAATCTACACCTGACCGTAGAGTTCTGACTTTCATGCCAGTTTATAATGGACTCGTAATTTTCCTGGCTTTTGCTTTGAATTGTAGAACTGCACTCTGACCTTGTGAATTCAGTATACATTAAGGTACATAATAAAGTACACATTTGGGTACACAATAAAGTGTACATTTGGGTACACAATAAAGTATACATTTGGATACACAATCAAGTAAACATTTGGGTACACAATAAAGTATACATTTGGGTACACAATAAAGTGTACATTTGGGTACACAATAAAGTGTACATTTAGGTACATAATTAAGTAAACATTTGGGTACACAATAGAGTGTACATTTAGGTACATAATAAAGTATACATTTGGGTATACAATAAAGTACACATTTGGATACACAATAAAGTGTACATTTGGGTACACAATAAAGTGTACATTTAGGTACATAATTAAGTATACATTTGGTACATAATATAGTATACATTACGGTACACAATAAAGTAAACATTTGGGTACACAATAGAGTGTACATTTAGGTACATAATAAAGTATACATTTGGGTACACAATAAAGTATACATTTGGGTACACAATAAAGTGTACATTTGGGTACACAATAAAGTGTACATTTAGGTACATAATTAAGTAAACATTTGGGTACACAATAGAGTGTACATTTAGGTACATAATAAAGTATACATTTGGGTATACAATAAAGTACACATTTGGATACACAATAAAGTGTACATTTGGGTACACAATAAAGTGTACATTTAGGTACATAATTAAGTATACATTTGGTACATAATATAGTATACATTACGGTACACAATAAAGTAAACATTTGGGTACACAATAGAGTGTACATTTAGGTACATAATAAAGTATACATTTGGGTACACAATAAAGTATACATTTGGGTACACAATAAAGTATACATTTGGATACACAATAAAGTAAACATTTGGGTATACAATAAAGTATACATTTGGGTACACACTAAAGTATACATTTGGGTATACAATAAGGTATACATTTGGATACACAATAAAGTAAACATTGGGGTATACAATAAAGTATACATTTAGGTACATAATTAAGTATACATTTGGTACATAATATAGTATACATTACGGAACAAAATAAAGAAAACATTTGGGAACCAAATAGAGTGAACATTTAGGTACATAATAAAGTATACATTTGGGTATACAATAAAGTATACATTTGGATACACAATAAAGTGTACATTTGGGTACACAATGAAGTGTACATTTAGGTACATAATTAAGTATACATTTGGTACATGATATAGTATACATTACGGTACACAATAAAGTAAACATTTGGGTACACAATAGAGTGTACATTTAGGTACATAATAAAGTATACATTTGGGTACACAATAAAGTATACATTTGGGTACACCTTAAAATTGCTGCCTGCTAAAACTTTGCCATAAGCTTTATATAGCTGTAGGTATATTATTCACTGATCAAATCAAAATGATTACTTAATAGCAACAAGCTAAGTATCACTTAAAAAGGACTCTATATTTCAGAACATCAACAGAAAAGATATGGAACATTTGTAACGAATATGTTTTTGTTTTTATGCTCTTCTTTCCTAAAAGGATTTAGAAAATAGGTAGATTAGATATCATTGAGTGCAGTCATATAAGATTGATAGAGTCTTTCAACCCCTTATGGTAACGTAGGGGAATCTCAACCCTTGGGGGAAGATTTTAAGTGTCAAACACGAGGCTGGCTGAGTGATGGCAACTTAAAAATCTCTCTCGTAGTGTTGAGATTCCCCCATTACACCCCTAAGGGAGTGAGTTATTCGTTATTCTTTTTTATGCCCCCCTCTAAAATTAGAGGGTGGCATACAGTGTTGCCCATATCCATCCCGTCCCGTTGCATCCCTTCAAACATCAAACACTGAAATTAATTTCACATGGTGACAGGGGCATTCATGTCTTACAGACATTTTCTAGTTCCTTATCCTGTTGACCCTGTCACACCTATGATAATAATACTGACATTACTGGGTCAATGCATGTTTGACATGACATTAATTTATTGTTGTCTTGACCTCATACAGTGGTTATAACATGCAAATCCTCTCATCTCAACCCTCAGTTTAGACAAGATTCCTCAAACCTGTCCAGGGTAAGAAAAACTCTGAATATTCCACATGTTATATATGGACCTTTTGTGATAGTCCATCGGTATGTTTCAGAATCTCCTGCCAGAGTGCCACTCAGCCCAGGCCACCTACCTTTTCCAGCAGGACAAGTTCTACGATGTTTCATATGACACTGGTGATAAGTCCATCCAGTGTGGTCGTAAAGTGGACGTCCTCAAGGTCTGGATGTTGTGGAAGGCCAAGGGTGACATTCAGTTTGAGAAGGACATTGATAACATCATGGAATGTGGGAAGTAAGTCTGCTACAATCACAGCGTTTGGTACAGTTCACACCAGTCATAGACTACACCTTACTTGGTATCCCACCCAGTCACACATTGTACCGACTCTGAGTCAGCTAGACAATCTTACATCATACTGACTCTGAGTCAGCTAGACAATCTTAAATCATACCAACAATGAGTCAGCTAGACAATCTTACATCATACCGACTCTGAGTCAGCTAGACAATCACACATCATACCGACTCTGAGTCAGCTAGACAATCTTACATCATACTGACTCTGAGTAAGCTAGACAATCCTACATCATACCAACTCTTAGTCAGCTAGCCAATCACACATCATACCAACTCTGAGTCAGCTAGACAATCACACACCATACCAACTCTGAGTCTGCTAGCCAATCATACACCATACCAACTCTGAGCCAGCTAGCCAATCATACACCATACCAACTCTGAGCCAGCTAGCCAATCACACCAACTCTGAATCAGCTAGCCAATCACACACCATACTAACTCTTAGTTTGCTAGCCAATCACACACCATACCACCTCTGAGCCAGCTAGCCAATCACACACCATACTGACTCTGAGTCGGCTAGCAAATCACACACCATACCAACTCTGAGTTTGCTAGCCAATCACACACCATACCAATTCGGAGTCAGCTAGCCAATCACACATCATCCCAACCCTGAGACAACTAGCCAATCCCACCAACTCTGAGTCAGCTAGCAAATCACACACCATACCAACTCTGAGTTAGCTAGACAATCTTACATCATACCGAGTCTGAGTCAGCTAGACAATCACACACCATACCAACTCTGAGTCAGTTAGCCAATCACACACCATTCCAATTCTGAGTCAGCTAGCCAAACACACACCATACTAACGCTGAGTCAGTTAGCCAATCACCCACATATACCAACTCTGAGTCAGCGAGCCAATAACACACCATACTGACTCTGAGTCGGCTAGCAAATCACACACCATACCAACTCTGCGTCAGCTAGACAATCTTACATCATACTAACTCTGAGTCAGCTAGCCAATCCCACACCATACCAACTCTGAGTCAGTTAGCCAATCACACACCATACCAATTCTTAGTCAGCTAGCCAATCACACATCATACCAACTCGGAGTCAGCCAGCCAATCACACACCACACCAACTCTGAGTCAGCTATCCAATCACACACCATACCAACTCCACATTGTACCGCCTCTGAGTCAGCTAGACAATCACACACCATACCAACTCTGAGTTAGCTAGACAATCTTACATCATACCGACTCTGAGTCAGCTAGACGATCTTACATCATACCGACTCTGAGTCAGCTAGACGATCTTACATCATACCGACTCTGAGTCAGCTAGAAAATCACACATCATACCGACTCTGAGTCAGCTAGCCAATCACCCACCATACCAATTCTGAGTCAGCTAGCCAAACACACACCATACTAACGCTGAGTCAGTTAGCCAATCACCCACATATACCAACTCTGAGTCAGCGAGCCAATAACACACCATACTGACTCTGAGTCGGCTAGCAAATCACACACCATACCAACTCTGAGTCTGCTAGCCAATCATACACCATACCAACTCTGAGCCAGCTAGCCAATCATACACCATACCAACTCTGAGTCAGTTAGCCAATCACACACCATTCCAATTCTGAGTCAGCTAGCCAAACACACACCATACTAACGCTGAGTCAGTTAGCCAATCACCCACATATACCAACTCTGAGTCAGCTCGCCAATCACACATCATACCAACTCGGAGTCAGCCAGCCAATCACACACCATACCAACTCTGAGTTAGCTAGACAATCTTACATCATACTGACTCGGAGTAAGCTAGACAATCCTACATCATACCAGCTCTTAGTCAGCTAGCCAATCACCCATCATACCAACTCTGAGTCACCCAGCCAATCACACACCATACCAACTCTGCGTCAGCTAGACAATCTTACATCATACTGACTCGGAGTAAGCTAGACAATCCTACATCATGCCAACTCTTAGTCGGCTAGCCAATCACACATCATACCACCTCAGAGTCAGCTAGCCAATCACACCAACTCTGAGTCAGCTAACCAATCACACACCATACCAACTCTGAGTTAGCTAGACAATCTTACATCATACCGAGTCTGAGTCAGCTAGACAATCACACATCATCCCGACTCTGAGTCAGCTAGACAACCTTACATCATACTGACTCTGAGTCAGTTAGCCAATCACACACCATACCAACTCTAAGTCAGCTAGCCAATCACACATCATCCCAACCCTGAGTCAGCTAGCCAATCACACCCCATACCAATTCTGAGTCAGCTAGCCAATCACACACCATACTAACTCTGAGTTTGCTAGCCAATCACACACCATACCAACTCTGAGTCAGCTAGCCAATCACACATCATACCAACTCTGAGTCAGCTAGACAATCTTACATCATACCGACTCTGAGACAGCTAGCCAATCACACACCATACCAATTCGGAGTCAGCTAGCCAATCACACACCATACTAACTCTTAGTTTGCTAGCCAATCACACACCATACCAGCTCTGAGTCAGCTAGCCAATCACACCAACTCTGAGTCAGCTAACCAATCACACACCATACCAACTCTGAGTCAGCTAAACAATCTTACATCATACTGACTCTGAGTCAGCTAGACAATCACACACCATACCAACTCTGAGTCAGCAAGACAATCTTACATCATACTGACTCTGAGTCAGATAGCCAATCACACACCATACCAACTCTGAGTCGGCTAGCCAATCACACACCATACCAACTCTAAGACAGCTAGCCAATCACACACCATACCAACTCTAAGTCAGCTAGCCAATCACACACCATACTAACTCTTAGTTTGCTAGCCAATCACACACCATACCAGCTCTGAGTCAGCTAGCCAATCACACCACCTCTGAGCCAGCTAGCCAATCACACACCATACCAATTCGGAGTCAGCTAGCCAATCACACACCATATAAACTCTGAGTCAGCTAGCCAATCACACTCCATACCAACTCTGAGTCAGCTAGACAATCACACACCATACCAACTCTGAGTCAGCTAGCCAATCACACATTTATCAGGTAACAGCACAGACTTATTTTACTACTTATGAAATTATTATTGTTGCATGTCCTGACCTTCGGTCTGTTTGATTTCCTCAGGTACCTAGCAAAGCTGGTTAATGAGCATGAAGGATTCAGACTCCTTGTAAAGGAGGTAGGTATTCTACATCAATATAGCTTTATGGCAATAGACCGCAAATATCAACCCCAAAATGACTCGGTCAGCTTGAGGTCGAGTGATAAGTTGCATTGTGTAACCCATGATATTAATTCCAGATCTCTCAGACCCTGCTGGAATGAACTTTCCTATATGTGCTCACTGATACTTGATGATAGAACTATTACTTGTGATTTTATTAACCCCAAGGCGATTGAAATTTCAAACGTATACTCATTGACCCCGCCCGGATGATTGAACTTTTAAGTACATACTTGTTGACCCTGGGTGATGGAACTTTTATTTGTGTACTCACTTATGCCGGATGATCAAAGTATCCTGTGTGTACTCATTGCCCCTGGGTGATAGAACTTTATTATGTACTGACAAGATAATTCTGTGTTTTACAGCCAGAGTGTACCAATGTGTGTTTCTGGTACGTACCGCCCAGTATGCGGGGCCAGCCTGAGGACCAGGAGTGGTACCAGCGTCTGTCCAAGGTGGGTAATATATACCATCACACTTCTGATGGTGCGGCTTTATCATGTCCTTAGTATCTTTTCTGTTTATAGGATCGCGTTGAAATTTGCAGCTACTATACCAAAATATTTACCAGGGTTGAAGGTATGAGGCATCACCCTTTAACAGAAGTTCAGAGATTTTCATTTTACATATTGGTATATTCATCAAGAATTTGTTACAATGGAAATTAAATCTCTAAATATAAGTGCAGTACGGTACTTTATTTGAACCATTAAGCACACCATCTGTTACGGTAATCACTCTATTTCACTTTTCTGGTCCAATTGTCACCATCATCAGCACAGTTTATATTGTTCATACGGAGAAACCCTCAGAAATGTTGAAAAATGTGTTTGATTGAAGTTGTTTTTATCAATTTATTTGTTATACCATTCATCTTTTTTAACAAATGTTAGACTATATTGATTGAATTTTTTTGATTGGTTGCTAGGTTGCACCTGTTATCAAGGAGCGTATGACGACAAATGGGACAATGCTGATTGGCTACCAGCCTGATGGAGAGACTGTCAACTTCTTCAGAATGATCGTGTCGAATCTGGGGGTCACAAGGGAGGACATGCAGTTTGTGATTGATGAAATAGAACGACTTGGAAGAGACCTTTGATGATGATCATCGTCGACGGGAGACTTGGTAGAAACCTTTGATGATGATCATTGGCGACGAGAGGGAAAGGACGCTGTTACAAGTTACACACAGTCCGGATGTTATCGAGTGATCAGTACTTACAACCCTAACTTCAATTGTCACAGGAACAATGAAAATGTTAAAGTCATTATCATCATATTAAATAAACATCAGAATGAAAAATACTATTTTCATTGCTCTTAAATACCATCTAATTAAAGAAAAAAGTTTTGTTTCTTGAACAGCCATTTAGTTTAATAAAATTTACTTATCTAGCTCTCTCTCTGTTTGTGATTAAAAGCAATTTTTTTGCTTTCAACAAGATTTTAAACATACAATGAACAATATTTGTGAAGAACTACTGAGTCTTTTGTATTTAAATTTAACATTTAATTCAATTTGATTTATCAATAATGGACGAAGGATTAAAGCCACTGTTCATATCAACCATTATTTAACAAATAGTTTATAGGAGTGTCAATAACAATATTATAGTCGGTAGTAAAAGCAGGCTTGTGTTATCATATTAACCATGTACTATATATAACTTATAGATAAATTTTACTTGACTTGACTTGAATAACAGTATTATTAATATGTATAACATTGTCTTACTGTGTTTCACATATCATAGATATGTATAACATTGTCTTACTGTGTTTCACGTATCATAGATATGTATAACATTGTCTTACTGTGTTTCACGTATCATAGATATGTATAACATTGTCTTACTGTGTTTCACGTATCATAGATATGTATAACATTGTCTTACTGTGTTTCACGTATCATAGATATGTATAACATTGTCTTACTGTGTTTCACGTATCATAGATATGTATAACGTTGTCTTACTGTGTTTCACGTATCATAGATATGTATAACATTGTCTTACTGTGTTTCACGTATCATTGATATATATTTACATTCTGTATGCTTAGACCCATTGACAAAAATTACATTCATAAATGCATAACACAGGTGTTCATAGAATCTTAGCACGTGGGAACTGATAGTAACCTGATCACACTGCGTAGTAATACACTACAAAAACTACTCACTCGGAACGACCGACCTAGATGCTTAATTCTTACATCTTAAAATATTATTGAACTGTGCTTTGTGAAATATCCACGTATTCACGTGTCCTGTGCTACAAATAAACATTGAATATGGAACTACATTTTGTTGTGTTATTGTTGTTGACGGTTGCTAAGATCTCTCACGATAGTGTCACATTTCCCCGCGAAAAAACACTGTTCTCGCCACTGCGTTGCACCCGTGTATAAGCAGGAACAAACCCTGTTTATTTGTTTTATTCGTTGTTATATCGATCCACTGAAAGGATTCGTCAATGTAAATATAAGGAATGATATTTATTTTTTCAACATTTATGAGGTCATAACAACAATGGGTTTTTGGACATATTTTACATGAATCGCTAACGCGATTCATTCAATATGTCCATAAACCCATTGTTGTTATGACCTCATAAATGTTGAAAAAATAAAAATCATTCCTTAAGTATAACATTGTCTTACTGTGTTTCACGTATCATAGATTGTTTCTTTGAAATGTTAATCAATTAAAAGTTTAAACTCCCTATTATGTACATGTAGAGTCTATGTGTGTTTATACATCGTTGGTAATATCTTATATATCTTATAATAAATAAATCAAATGGCATATTGTTCACAAACATCTTATAATTATTAAAATCAAATGGTATATTGTTCACAAACATCTTATAATAATTAAAATCAAATGGCATATTGTTCACAAACATCTTATAATAATTAAAATCAAATGGCATATTGTTCACAAACATCTTATAATAATTAAAATTAAGTGGCATATTGTTCACAAACGTCTTATAATAATTAAAATCAAGTGGCATATTGTTCACAAACATCTTGTAATAATTAAAATCAAATGGCTTATTGTTCACAAACATCTTATAATAATTAAAATCAAATGGCATATTGTTCACAAACATCTTATAATAATTAAAATCAAATGGCATATTGTTCATAAACATCTTATAAAAAATCAAATGGCATTTTGTTCCCAAACATCTTATAAAAAATCAAATGGCGTATAACATTCTTCGTGAACAGTTTTACTACAATGTAGGTATTTGTTACCAGCTCAGGTTTGTGATGTTTTGTTTTTGTGTTTTTTTAGAATATTTAAGAAAGGAACATATTTCAAATACCTTAGGTCAGTGACCCTTTGACCTTGAGATTAATCTTACTTGTACAATCATGACCTGTATGAGTATTTGTATGAAGAAAGTATAAAAACTTGTATGATAACATTTATTGGGACTTGAATGATGATTTGTATGAGGATTGTATTAAATCTTGTCTCATTGCAGTTGAAAATACCTGGTAATACAAGGGTCATTGATGTATTGCTATATTTTACATATTTAAATACTTGGTGCATATTTATTTATATAACTTTTCAAAATTTTGCACGTTATATAAGTTTGTATTTATATAATCATTAGCAAGACCTGTTACTTACATTTCATTGTTTCCATGCATTCTGTGTTTGTATTCAACGATTATTTGATTATCAGTGTTTACAGCTAGCTGGTATTTATCCCTCATCTGCTAGATGTGATCTTCTGTCCTAAGAATTACAACGATTCAGGACTTTGAAATCTTGATACTCATTGGAAAAAATCATCATTATTTAAACTATTGTATCCTATTGTAAAAATAGATTTCAACAATAAATTGTTTACGTTATGAATTACAATCTGTTGTCTGTTGTTCAAAGTTGTTGTCTGTTGTGAGATATAAAAAGAAAATAAGCCACACTCTCCCTACCCAAACCTTCAGGAATGTTAGCTGTTTGTAGTTTATAATAAAAAATAAGGCAGTTTATTTTATTAACAAATATTAGAGATATTCAGCTGTCCATTGATGTCATAATACACGTAACCGAGAGGTGTGTCTTACTTCTGAATCAAATGTTACGTATCATGTGTGCAGGTTTCTAAGAAACATATTTTTTATACAGTTATCAAACTGTCATGATGGCTCGTGAGGTCTTGCCTGCCCCTGATTTAGTCCTTGGGTCATAAGATGGAAATGGTTGAGATTCCTACCATACATTTAATTGCTGATCATGAAGAGATAAACGCAATCAGACTATTAAAATTGGTGACCTGGTTTAGCATGCTCAATGCGATTTGTATAGTTCCTGGGTCATAACAGGGAAACAGCTGAGAAATCGCCCTAAAACCCTATACATAATTCCTGGATATGAAGAAACAAAAACAATATATGTGCCTACTGGACATAAAGAGACAAACAACATCATTCTACCAGAATTAACCCAGGGTTCTGGCCCCTCCCTTGGTAAGTCATATTTGCAATATTACCTTTGATAAAAAATATTGCAGTGTTTGGTTAAATAACCAGGTGATGCAGTCCTGATGGGCCCCTTGTGTGTCTCGGTAACTAACGGATATGTTATAACAGAGATATTCTATAAATATGTAATTAACAGATATGTGCATGTAACTGATTTGCTATATCATAGTGATATTTTTTATCCATGTAACATGTAATATTAGTGTTATTTTCAATACTTTCCGTTTCATGTTAATGGTATTTTTACCAACCATGTTGTACTAATTTATTTCCGGGGATAATTTCAGATTTTGCAATAAATATTTTGAAACAAAACACATAGTTTTATATTTAATGTACCATATCTTTTTGTGTACCTTTGCTGTATTTTTACATATGTTTTGAAATATTTGTAACTGGGAACCAGACCCTAGTACCATTTAAGATAAACGGAACTGGGAACCAGACCTTAGTTCCGTTAAACAAGAGGCCCAATGGGCCTGCATCGCTCACCTGGTATTAATATCACACTTGTAATCTTAAAAGTGGACTAAAATACAGCTACAGGCAGACTATCAGTGTTTGATTCATAAGAACCAATTAAAAGATTTAAACGTATGACGCCTGTGACCTTGAATGTCGGACATTAGGTTGAAAGTGGGTCAAGGTCATTCATTTGAACAAGCTTGGTAGCCCTTCATCCCAGCAAGCTACAGGCCCAATATCAGTTCCCTGGACCTTTTGGTTATTAAGAAGAATTCGTCTGAAGATTTTAACACATTTGACCCTTATATCTGGAAAGTGGATCAAGGTCATTTATTTGAACAACCCTGGTAGCTCTTCATCCCAGCATGCATGCTACATGCCCAATATCAGTAACCTGGGCCTTTTGGTTTTTGAGAAGAAGTTGTTTGAAGATTTTACGACATTTGACCCATGTGACCTTGAAAGTGGGTCATGGTCATTCATTTGAACAAACTTGGTAGCCCTTCATCCCAGCATGCTACAGGCCCAATTTCAGTACACTGGGCCTTTTGGTTATTAAGAAGAAGTTGTTTGAAGATTTTAAGACATATTTGACTTATGTGACCTTGAAAGTTTTTCAAAGACATTCATTTGAACAAACTTGGTAGCCCTTCATATCAGCATGCTACAGGCCCAATATCAGTACCCTGGGTCTTATGGTTATTGAGAAGAAGTCGTTTGAAGATTTTAACATATATTTGACCCCTGTGACCTTTGAAAATTCGTCAAGGTCATTCATTTGAACAAACTTGGTAGCCCTTCATCCCAGCATCCTCAGGCCCAATATCAGTACCCTGGGCCTTTGGTTATTGAGAAGAAGTTGTTTGAAGATTTTAACATATTTGACCCATGTGACCTTGAAAGTGGGTCAAGGTCATTCATTTGAACAAGTGGTAGCCCTTCATCCCAGCATGCTAATCGGCAAATATCAACAGCCTGGGCCTCTTGGTTATTCAGAAGAAGTTGTTTAAAGTAAAATATTGACGCCGGACGGGCGGACGACGGACGCCGCACCACGGCACAAGCTCACTTTGCCCTTCGGGCCAGGTGAGCTCAAAAACTGAAATGACACCATCAATGGAACTTGGACCAAAATACCAGTTCAGTTTCAGAAAGACATCGTAACCAGCCTCTTATAATCCACTGGGAACTCCAGTTACGTTTTTGACACAAGGCATGTGTATGTGTCTAGGGGATCGCGCATACTACGAAATGTTTGCTTAACGTG